AATGTCTGCGTCAAGCTCACTGCGACACACTGCTACAGGAGTATAACCAGCCACACAATCGTTCTGATCTGATCTGTTGAATAAAGGAACCTAGTATTTTACAGGTTCAAAGAGACACAAAATCTCGTTTTTATTTATTCCACTGGTAGTCTGTTTTGATCAAATAGAAATAGAGGCCTGCCTCTAATTGGACCAAGATGTACCTGAGTGAAATAAAGGCCCCGTCCTACATTGAAGTATTTATGGTATACATTCACATGCATGCGTCCGCGCACGCACACACCCATTCCTACCACTACAGGCCCACCTGTTCCTTACCTTCTACCATACGGCAGCATGTTGGCACCTCAGATTAGCTTGAGATTCGCTGTGCTCTTCCTTGCCATGTTGAAGCCGCAGACTCTTTGGTGGCATCCTTCCTCCGGTGTTTTCCTTTGCGTTGTAAACGAAATGGCTCCAAACAGCCAGGTGTTTTGAGTGCTGCGAGACTGACTGATTGATGCGAGACACTGTGGGACAGGCGCCGTGTAGGGACAAACAACGCAACAACGCGTAATCTTCTATGAAGCTCAAGAAACACTTATAATAACAATTACAAATAAATTATAATCAATTACATTTCTTAATGTCCATTGGTTAATCGATCGTAAATTTCTTCTGTCTTAGTCTCGTTGACAAAAATCATTTTTTTATTTTCGTCATATTTTTATTTTCTGGAAACAATTTTTGTGTGTTAATGTCTTGTCATCATTACGGGAAAAAGGGGCGTTGAATTATTTTTGTCATCGTCATGGTTGACGAAATTAACACTGGTACTGAGAAGTAGTTTGTGGTCCCCACCTGCAGAACCACTCTTTATCAAGTGTGTCTTGCAAATTGCCAACACATTTCAACTGTCTATTTGATTTGCATGACATTATTTGAAATTGACTGTCAATCTGTGTTCCTTCTGTTGTGATTTTGTGTTCAATGTCCATCCGGATTGGATGCCACATTAATGTTGTGGATTTGTATTTTATTCAATTCCCAGCCAGCTGGGAATTTATATTTCTGATACTTTAAGATGTTTATTGCCCTTTCCGGTAGGGGTGGTAAATATCTTATTTAATCAGATATTGTTTCGTCTGTTATATACTTTTTATGATACACAGCCCTACTAGCTGTGTGTTAGAACAATAAATGAAAGAGTGATTCGAGCACTAATCATGGTCAAACAGTTAATTCTGCACATATATGGAATAAATTCACCACAACTTCTGTTCAAAATATAAGAGTTTATTAACAAAAATCATTCAGCTCCAAGTCAAACATATTTCAGTTTAACACTCTCAACTAAGACTACTGACACTCAACTAAACTTAACTACTATGTAAAAAGAGGAAGGGGAAACATGGGTGAAAACCATATTACAGTTTAAGATGGATTTTGTGTTTGAAACCAAAGTTTATCTGGAAGAATTTGGGATTATGATCAACTGATCAAATAAGCTTTGCACTAATTTTACAGAAATTGGAATGTTTTCAGACCAATTCGCAATACAAATCCATGAGGTGAATAAAACATTATTTGGCCAAATAATATTTTATTAAATTATTTGCTTAATCCATAACCAATAACCTTTAGTCAAATGATTCTTTACCCTCTTTGAAATAGCTAGCAGCGAATAGACATCAGGATTCTACTAAATGACTCTTGGTCATACTTGGTAATCGAAATGTAATGAGCATATGAGGAACATATGAACACTAATGTGATATCAGTGTTAAAACCCTTAGTGAAATAAAGCTTGTCCAGGCTTCAACGACAGCTCAACAGTTCTTTTTACAGAATATTTTTCTATCTACAAGCTGTAAGCTGTGCAGATGTTGGTCGGGTAGTCAGGGATGCAGAATGTGGAATGCAGGTACTGTCATGGTTTTGGTTCTTTTTAAGTTTTATCTCTGATTTTTCATTTGTCTACCTCCATTTTGTGTTCAATTATTTTTTATTGTATTTGAGTTCTTGGATATCTCTTGTTTGCTCTCTTGTGTATGTCTCCTTTTCCCTAGCTCCCTAGCTTGACAGTACAAACCAGCCAAAAATGGACCCAGCAGACTTGGAGTCTTGGAGTTTTGGTGCTCAGGAGAGACAGCTAAACAAACAGGAGGAGCAGCTGGCATTGCTTCAACTGGAGATGAAACAGCTGGATGCACAGCGGGGCAGGTTCCTGATAACATTTGCAGAAAAACTTGGTTTTTACAGAGCTCCCCTGGTCAGCCTGCTGTTAGCCCCTCTCCACCACCCAACAAGGTCAGTTTTTTCTCTCGTCTCAGTTTTTCCTCTCCAGTCTCAGCCCCCTCTAGTGTCCCCTCTCTTGTCTCAGGCCTCTCTAGTGTCCCCTCTCTAGTCTCAGGCCTCTCTAGTGTCCCCTCTCTAGTATAAGGTCCCTCTGGTGTCCCCTCTCTAGCCCCTTCTGGTGTCCCCTCTCCTGCTCACACTGCTCAGGTGCAAGGTTACCTGTGATAACTGTAATAATTAAGCACTACTTGTTTAATTTCCGGGTACATGGCTTTTGTGATTAAGCAAACTGGTACTTTGGAAAAAAACAAAACAAAACAAAAACAAAACATTGCAAAACATGGGGTTTATGGAGTTTTTAAAAAATAAACTTTTTTTTCACTTTAGCACAGAAGTGCAAATGTGCAAACGGAACTTCCTTTTTATTCAGTCCTATCTGCATAAGTATTGGCCAACATGCATTTCAAAAGCCTATGCTAAGAAAACAAAGCAGCTAAATAAAATAGTTGCGGGTTTGCACCCTCCCCGATATGCAAATTGGCCAGTTGATATTTCATGTTGAAAACATGATTAAAAACACCAAGATTGAAAACATTTACTGTTTCACAATGTCCAAAAACTGTCATTTATAACACTGAGTTTCGCTTTATATTTTCAACTGACACCTTTTGCAATAAAGCAAAAAATCAAACTCTTTTTGCTGTTTTTCTCCATTTGTATTCTGCAGACTCATTCCTATTTTACCTAAGTTTCCAGATTTATTTTGGCCGCCATTCAGCAACCCAGTGATTTCAGTGTTTGGCCCAGATCTTAGTGTCCAACTTTATTGTTTGACCTAATTGATAGGCTTCTAAAAGAACAATCAAAATTTTCCCTAAATATTCCTCTGTGCTGCATAAAAAGCTCTGCTAAAAGAGCTGAAGCTGCTACAGCAGAAAAAGTCGGCCAATGTCATGTCAAAGCCTTTGTTATTATCAAACATTAAAGGTCGTGTAGGTGTTAAGGTTATTCATTCAATACCTTTGGCAATAAAGGTAAACTTATCAAAAACAAGAAGATAAGAATCCTCAGATTACAGACTGAAGATAATATATGCCCTGTTTTGGATCTGATAAACAACAGTTCTGAATCATTCTAAAAAAAATTAAAGCCATAAACACTAGTAATCAACATATCAGTTCTTTAAACATGAAACTGTTAATTTTGGTTAAAATATTCAAACATCTGGAGCACCTATACATAATAAAACCTTGCAAATATTCAGAATTTACGGCACTTTTAAAGGCATACAACCAATCAGAATGTTGTATGAGAGAAGTATTTACGAGTAATGTTCCCAGCATTTGGACATTTATACAAAAATATGCAAAAGACATGCATATATATATATATATATATATATATATAGGTGATGGCTAACCAACCAGACATCGTGTTGATCGACAAACAGCAGAAGAAGGCAGTAGTGATAGATGTGGCAATCCCAAGTGACAGCAACATCAAGAAGAAAGAACACGAGAAGCTTGAGAAATACCAAGGACTGAAGGAGGAGCTAGAAAAGATGTGGAAAGTAAGAGCAGCAGTGGTGCCAGTGGTAATTGGAGCACTAGGGGCTGTGACCCCCAAACTGGGAGAGTGGCTACAGCAGATTCCAGGTAATACATCAGAGGTCTCTGTCCAGAAGAGCGCAGGAACAGCTAAGATACTGCGCAGAACCCTCAAACTCCCAGGCCTCTGGTAGAGGACCCGAGCTTGAGGATGACACATACCACCCCACGAGGGGTGAGAAAACAGTTTTTATATATATATATATATATATATATATATATATATATATATATATATATATATATATATATATATATATATATATATATATATATATATATATATATATATATATATATATATATATAATATATGATCATTAATATATGATCAGTATTTGCTGAGAATTAACTGTCATGGAAATAGAATGGCCGGATTATTTTTACATGACTAAATATTTTGATATTAATTAGACACTTGTCTATGCTTTTGTAATGTGTAGATGGAGTAATAAGTTATATCAATGATTACTCAAAGTTAATTTAAATATTTTCAAAACTTTCCCCCTTTCAGTTTAAATAAAAACTGTATGCCTTTGTATGACTTGTGGAAGTTAAAATGGTGAAACAAAAAACAAACAAACAACAAACAAAGTCAAACTATAAATCCTTTCAAGTTGCAACAAAACTCAGCTGCAAGTATGCTGTTAAGCAACATGTTACATCAGTTTTAAACTTTTAAAATAGACAAAGTTAAAATCATCTTAGTCTAACCTCTTTTTCAGATTTGCTTTTGTCTCACACCTAATTCATTGCATCAAGTGTTTTCTATTACATTATTAAATTATTAAGAATTCTAACAGGTTTATTTATAGATAAATATCATTTATTTATAAAGAAGATTTACCAAGATTTTTTCTCTCTGGCTTGAAGCTCTGTTATGCACCTTGTGCTATACTCATCTATCTAATAGGTTTTCTAAAATAAATGCTGATTGACTGATCAGGTCACTGCAGCTCCGGTATAATTTTGGCCGATTTTCGACCAGTCCGTAATTTACTTTACTGACTCTTTTCTTGTCAAAGAATAGATGTTTGATTATATTACCACTCTAAAAGGTAATACAGGCTCTACATGTCACGAAATAATAAAAATGTATAAATCAGTTCAACTTACAATCAAGACAAACGTTCCCAAGAACTCAGCCATACATTGTCGAATCAGGGCATTCTTCACTCTCAGCAAACGTGGATTCAGCATGGTTGCATTTAAGACAAACTCTTCACCATTTAGTCTAGCTAGGTTTGTTTGAAATTTTTAGTTGCTCCTCTTCACCTGATTGTCTAACAATATGCCCTCTGTATCCTAAGTATCTTCAGGTTAACTGTGCAGCTCTGCAGAATTAGATACAAGGGTGCTATATTTATGAAGTCATACCACCTGACGATTAGCTGCTGCTGCTGATAACAGGACTTTCTACATCTGTAAGGGTTTCTTTTACAAAGAGAGGCCATAAAAAACAGATAATAAGACAACAGTAAAAGAATTAAACATTCACACGAACTTTGTTTAAAACCTAACAGCAGTTTTCTTAAGGTATGCAGAATCAGTAGTTCTTTGCACCAATCTGAACAAATGTGAGGGTTTTTTTAAGCTAGAGATGCAACATGCATGTAATGCATAAATATACTGATGGACTATATAGAATTATGTGCACTGAGCAAATTACATAATTTCAGAGATTTGCAATGCATCATGACTACGCCGGTTATATCACGTGGTAAAATTTTATTCTTTGAAAGCAATTAACTTGGTATGATAAATGTTAATGGAAACTAAATATAAGACAACCTATAGAAAAATACCTGGGGAGGAGTGCCTCCTGGATTTGGTGTAAATTAATTCATTTGTCTTTGGAAACACTTAGGTTTTTATTAGTCTTGTCTGCAAAGTCTGCAATGTTCTAAACGTTGCACACTGTTTAGCATGTATAGCTTAGCATGTGCAAATGTAATCCTTTTTTTCTGTCTTTAGAAATGCATTTTTTTATTTAATTTTTTGTTGTGAGGTTGCATAGCACAGTCTCCTTTCATTACCAAGGATAGTGTGCTGCCATCATCTTCCTATGAAAATCTTTTAAGTGAGATGACTGCAATGGCAACTCTAATTTCATACTGCACTTCTTACAAAACCAAGGCTTTATTAACTTTAAAATATGCATGGAAGCATTGCCCTATTTGAAGGTTCAGTAAACCCTAAGCTTACTTGCATAGGAACGGCTTTCTTCTCCATGTGTGCTTCAATCACCCTCCATCAGACACTGTTGTTTCAGCAATATGTGTCATGATGTTGGCGCTGATAGCTGGAATAATTGCTCATTTCATTCACCTGTCTAACTCTGCCCGGTATTTTATTAATGTTCATCTGATCCACCTGCTCCTGCCTATATTTAAGCTGCTTGGTCCCAGCCATCAGTGCCAGATTATTCTTGAGCCCTTTGGTGAGAGTTTTTCTTGGGTAAGTTATTGTGTTCTGATTGTCTGATCCTGACATCCCTGTTCTGATCTATTTGCCTGACTTGTCTTTGAACATCTGCTAGATCCTTCTGTGGTTTAAACCTGGATCTGCCTCTTGTCTTCACCCTGTGGAATATCCTGTCTGATTATGGTACTCCTGTGTCTGATTATGGTGGTCTCTAATCTGTGTTCTTCTCTTTAAGAGGTACCTTCATTATACGACCTAGCTGCTGCTACCGCAGATCCGTAGCCCGTTGCTTAAATAAACGCTTTTCAAGTTATCCCACTGTCTGTGTTGCATGCTTACTGGGTCCTTCTGTTCTGACTAATTGCAGTGTGTTTGATGCCTACAGTCATTGATATTCATCCAACTGTATGAGTACAAACAATCAGGACCTCTTGCATCTGATATTCATATTATGCAAGGCAATGATCTCTTCTACTTATCCAAATCTATAAGAAGCAATAATATGTTCTCATCCTTTATTTGCGGTGATCTGTCTCAAACAGACCGGATACACCTAATGAAGCATTTAATTGTTTGTATGAGGTATGACTGAAACCACATCCTGAGAAGCAGATGTTTCCCTTACTGTGTGAAGAAGTCCTTAAAAGCCTTTCATTAATGATATAATGATTACATCTGTTATGAATTTGAGACATAATTATAAGTATAAACTAAACAAAATCCACCTGAAACACCAAGAAAGTAATTTCCATCATTTACCTATTATCTATCTCCAGTGTTATCTTTCTTTGTGACATCTAGCTGCAATTTGATACTGCACTATCATCACAACAACCATCATTGTCATCATTACTGTCTGCTGAACCTGGGACTGTTATGCAATCAAAATTATTCAATTGGTTTTTTAGGCTCTTATTGCACTTTTTATTTCCATCAGCATGGAAACTGAATGATAGTGAGCAACAAATAAGATATACAAAGGCTCCATGACAACAGAATTTAGTATTGTGTTGGCATCAAATCTGCACAAATGTCTGCACAAATCTATTCATTTCGAATTTCAGAAAATTCAGTTTGCAGCTGCTTTAAATAATGCATATCAGTAGCTGATGGGGATAAAGGCACTTTGCTCATCTTTCTAGTAAGAGCCTCTGTAATCAGCCCTTGTCATCAGGTAGATTTTTGCCCACTTCATAGTGAACAGTTTCATAGGATGTTCAAGGCTGACTTCACAAAATTTATACAGACCCCATATCATTCAGTTTGTTTGAAGTAGTAATATTTAAATTTTCCTAATAAAAATAAAAATTGGTTTTAATTTCTTTATATTTAGGATCAAACAAAAGGTTCCTAAAGGTTAAAGTGACAGCAGTGCAAAGACAGGTTTTTGAAAATGTTCAGTTACACATGCTGTATGTGTCCCTGGCTCCTATTTACCCCAAACAGAACCTTTATTCTGCTATTATGCAGAAAGTAAACTGATTTGTATATCCTTTTGGTTCCTAGCGTATATCATAGAGGGGAAACGCATTGCCTTCATGTACTTGAAATTAGATCTTTTTTTTTTGATGCGTTGAGTTTTAATACTCTTATGTAAACAACATTCTAAGCCATTGTCGACTGGTCTTTAGAGCCATGCCAGGAATACTGGTGTTAACTTTGCTCGTCATAGGTTAATCAATGGATAGATTGAAAATATTATAATGAACTCAGGTGCACCATCTACATACAGCAGATTATGAAGATCAAAGCACATTGATTTCAGTATACAGATTGAAAAGTTCAACTTATTTAATTTTTATATCCATTCTACACATGATGGGGTTTTTAATCTGTTTCCTCTTATTTTATTTTTATTTTTTATTTTTATTTTTTATTACTATGACTTAACGGGAATGAAAATCCCAAATGACATTTCTCATAAAACAGAATTTATAACAAAGCTGATTCCATTAAAAAAAAAGAAAAAAGAAATTATAAAAAAGAAATTGCAACTTTCTGAAAAGCATGTTTATGTAAAGTAAAATCGAAGTGCCGAATACTGTGTTTTGGCTCCTTTTGCAAGACTTACGCATCATTGTACTGTGGTTTGATGTGGATCAGTCTGTGATTCTGCTGAAACCAGGGTTTCTTTAATAGGAGGGTACAACTTGTCTCCATTGCTTTCTCTCATCTTTCTAAAGGCAAGACCTCATAGATCACCTGCAGGGATAATGCCTGGGCGGTTTGCTAGCAAATCAAGCATAATGATATCCCGATTAAGCAGGTACTGGAACTTTTGAAGCTACTGGAAATTATTCAAAGCAACAAGGTGCAAAGTCCAGCTTGAAAAGAAAAGAATCTTCTCCACATACCCTGTCAAGGTAGGTAATTCCTGATCCGTGGCTGTACTCACTTTAGACTGCTGTTAAAACTTTAAACTGGAGCACACGAAGATATTTGCATTATTGAATATGCTTCATGGCTTCAGAAGATTTCTTTCACCTATCTTTGCTCATTTCACTGGTTCTCTTTGTTTTACTTAATATTTAAGCCCTTGCTTGGTTCTTGTTTTATTCATTATTGTTCATTCCATTTATTTCTTGTATCTGTGCCTGTTTTCTGTTCTGTAAGTTTGCCCTTATATTCATTAAATGCTTCAATTCACTTTTTTGCTTCTATGGGTACGCCTATACCTGCCTCCATAACCTCAGTCCAATAATGAGACTTGATAGTAATGCTCGCTGTTTTGTATTTACATACTTAGTATATTTTATTTGGCTTTATATTTTGCTGTTTATAATATCTTTTTTATGTTAATTTCATTATTATTCTTTTCCATTGGTGACTGTTTAACAAACTCCTATTAATGTCGGCTTTACACGGCCACTGTGAGATACTGTTGTCTTGGCTTCATTACAAGAGCCAGTCCATGTAATTACACAATATCATCAAAAAGATTCCCTCATCCATTCAAATAATTTCAATTATGGTCTTTCAATTACGTTCATGGATGGATTTTATTGATCTCACAGAGGAGATATTTACAGTGCACGCATGCAGACTGTTTCCACAAACATTTGTGAAAGATTGGGTTATTTCATGGAGAAAATCTCAGCGAATCTCACCTTTGGATGCCTCTCGTTTAACAAGTTCAGTCGGGAAATTTCCTCGCTCCAGAATTTGTCAAATGGACTCCGAAGCAGCTGAGCCATGAAATGATGGGGGGGGGGGGGGGGGGGGGGGGGGGGGTATGTTATGGGCTTGATTTTAGAAATTATTTTGCTCATAACTTTGTGGGAACAGTTTGGAGATGTCCCCTTTTGCCTTACCACATGATTGTGCGCCAGTGGACAAGGCAATAAATACATGGATTAGAGAGTTTGCGGTGGATGAGCTTAACTGGTCTGTTCAAAGTCCAAACCAAGATTCAAAAGGCAACCTTGGGAGCAGAGAGTGAGAGCAACAACTTCTCATCCAACACTGATCTATGATCTCCCAAATGTGCCTCTGGTAGAATGGTTAGACTGCTCATATTAAGCCATATGGATTTTAAGTTCAGGTCCGCCTCGATGAGAGAATACTTTTGGCAATGCAGTTTATAAAAATCTTCCTCCACAGGTTTTACTTTTATAGATAGCAATTTTTCTTTTTTTTTTTTCCTTTAATTGTTGAGTTGTGTGCATGCTTTGGCGGCGCAGTGGTTAGCACGCACAACCCATGTATGGAGGCCTTAGTCCTTGACCCGGGCAACCTGGGTTCAAATCCGGCCTGTGGTCCTTGCCCGCATGTCTTTCCCCTCTCTTATACCCCCTTTCCTGCCAGCCTACTCTCCATAAAAATAAGCCACTAGTTCCGTAAAAACAACAAAAAAAGTTGAGTTCTTGAATTATTAATTTTTTTGTTATTTTCAAATGTGCACAAACTTTACATGAAATATAAAATGCTGACTATTTTCAGCTCATGTGGTATTTTGTAATAATGCTGATGCTTCTGATAATTACCTACAGTTACATGCGTTTGAGTTGATCGCATGTAAACGTTACAGTGTTTAAATAAAGACATCTGCTTTGCACAGCTTCCGTTTCATAAGCTAAACCATCAGCCCTTAAAATAAAGACAGAAACAATTATATATAATTATTGAATATAAAGTAAAAGTTCTATTTAAAACTTTAATTGCATTAATAACATTAACACACAAATCAACAAAAAATAAACAGAACGTTTCTCTCTTGTAAAAGTAAAAATACAGGGTTAAATCAAACTTAATAAAATTACATACAAAAACTAAAAACGGTTATTTACAGTAAAATACAAAGTGTCATAGTTTTCTAAGTGCCCAAACTTTTGCATTTACAAAATGTGCTGTTATGTTAGTTGCCTTTATACATTTAAAACAGGTTAAAACTGTTTAAAACACAAAAAATACCAGGTTTTGAGGTAGATCTAACCATTTCACACAAAAAGAGAAACATAGGAAAAATTTACACCTTTGACCTGTTTTTTAGGCTTACTTTTGCAAACACTGTCATAATGACTGGCTCCTCAATGGAAAGCTAGAGCTATTTTTTGGCAGTAGCTGATGTCCTCAAATGAAAAAGCTCACAGTTCCTGGTTGATCAGCATTCTTTGAATTGCCAACAAGTGAGGCATCAGGACAATCTTCATAACTCTGTAACTTTAAGCGGGCGTTGCAGCACCACTTCCACCGGCCCCGAGGAGAGATTTTTGATGAAAGCCAACACCTCCGGACGTCTCATCCTCACCACGCTGGTGCCTTGAATTTCTAAAATCTCATCACCGGGGAACACTTTGTCAGCAGGTCCCCCTGAGAAGTTAAGAAATAAAATACATTTGAATATTTTGCAGAGGTTTTTAAACAAACCAAACTAATTTACAGGAACAGTTTAACAAGATCCTAATGTTAACGTTTCCAACACTTTTGAATCCTCCACCAAATACATCCACCTATAATATTTTTATATAGTTATGAAATCTATAATTTTAAAAAGTGGAAGAAAATGTGTTGATTCACACCTCCCTGTTTGACGTGCCTCAGTTTCCTCATTTGAGTTAGTCTTCTGTGTTTTCGCTTACATCAGTTACCCTTAGTTGTTGTTATGCCTTGCTTTACCCTGAAACAGGCTGTTATGCACCTTTACTTGTAGTATGTTTTCCTATTTTTGTTGCATCACTGAGCCATTCGTAACTGTTATGTGCCGTGGGCACATTAGGATTTTTTTTGTCTATTTCTTTTTTTTTGCTTTCTTACAGACTTTAGTTAAAGGATCTTTTGTTAAAATATTTTGGGATTCTTTATTAAATTAATTATGTTAATTTGCGGTGCTGTCGTCCGCCTATAAATAGGCTGGCCTTCAGCACGTTAATGCGTTCCTTTTTTTTTCCTACCTCGTTTGGGACGCCGCGTTCCACCTGTTCCTTTTTGGTTCCAGCGTGCGCGGTGCGCACTTGTCTTCCTGTTGCGGCCTGCAGCGGACGATCCAGCTTGCCATGCGGTATTTTTGTTAACCGTTTTCTTTCTTACTTTTTTCTTGAGTTTTTGGCCTGGCGGGACCGGTAGTCCTGTTTTCGATTTTTCTTTTCTTAGGATATTTTTTTGGTCTTTAGTTCGGTACCAGTAGGGGCTTCGACGGCCCTGTATAGGGTTGGCCCCCTGCTGTACCGTTTTGTTCTGTTTGGCCGGCCTGCCAGGTCCAACTTTCTGTTGCTACTTTGGGTTTTTTTTTACTTTTGGGGCACGGGATTTGAGGGCTTTTTTCTCACTCTTCTCTTCACAGGACATCAGAAGAAGCTGACCAAGAACAGCTAATTGAAGAGAAGTGTTAAATAAAATAATTCCTTTGAACCCTCATTTGTTGTCTCGTGTCCTCAAATATGTTGTGTCCTTAGCGGGACGTAACAGTAACACATAAAAAAGAATACCGCACAGATAGTCAAACATTGTGGCTATTTTATCATTTCAGAACAAGGAGACCTTTTGCACAGCTCAGGCACATTCAGCTTGCACAGCAGGACTATAATCCCCACTTGTATCAAGATTCAAACAATAATTTTATGAGATTATTGTTTACATATGGCCGTAATACACAGCGGAATGACAATATAATACATAGAAAATAAAAAGACAATTGCTGGTGTTTTAGATTGCAACGCAGTATTTGTGTTTTGAAATTAATCCTCTCTTAACTAAGGCTTTAATCCAAATGGAGGTAAATAGAGACTTTAGACCAGGAGATAATTATTTTAGTATGCTTTAAAAGTAAAACTACATTTATGTCCTAATTCAAAATAACTAAAGTATAAAGGAGTATTTTTCTAATTTTTTAAAAGAACCACCCTCACCACTGCAGGGGATTGGAGGCCTAGTGTTCAGAGCATTGTACTTGGAATCCAGAGTTTTTGAGTATGTATCCCACTTCCACAGACTGCCACTCTGGGTCCCTGAGCAAAGACCCATAAGCCCATACTGCTCCCCGGGCGCCCCACAATGGCAGCTCACTGCTCCCCAAGGGGATGGGTTAAATGCAGAGAGTTAATTTTGTTGCTCTGTAATTTTGGCAGTGTAATGATAATTTAAAAAGCTGGAACTTAAAAAAAAAAAAATGCTCATGCACAATCCTGTACCTGCTCCCAAGAGGGAACGCCTTTTAAACGCGTGCAAGAGCATTCAAAGGCCCATTTCTCCTCGTGCATGCTCTGTTTAAGAGTCGCTTTCATACAAGCGTACTTTCTAAAAGAAGATTGGCAGTTTTTCCAATATGTCAGACTCACCACTGCTAGGTGAAAACGGTAGATGAACGCGTTGGATAGCCTTACCTAAACATCTCACCAGAGTGATTGACAATTAGGAGGAACACTTATTTCAATGATCCACCCTGAAAAAGAACATCCTCCACTTTAACTTTAAGTTACACTTCTCACCTGGAAAGATTGTCTTCACAGTCAGTGGTCTGTTCCCTTCACTGGATCCTACACCTCCAAACAGGCTAAAACCCAGATCCCTGCTGTTCTTCTGTAGTTGGACGCACACACGCTGGCCTTTCAGAGTTGAAAAAACACACCGAGTATGTTTAATATTCTATGTTGAAGAAAACATTGGATCTCTTTTTTAAGCATTGTTTCTCACCTGTCTCATACTGAGTTGTTGTTGCCATCTCATTATTTCCTTGCACTTCTAACTTTGAGCCGCCACTCAGGTCACCTTTCCTCAAGACCACCACCGCCATTTCTCGATCTTTGGCCTTTCTAAGGATCTTCACAGCCTGCCAGTGACCAGTTTCTGACAGAGCAGTACCATTAATGGACAAAACACGATCTCCCTCCCTAATAGAGCCCTCCTGGGCTGCAACACCTGAGTTAAAAACCTTGCGAACCTGACAATATTAGTAGAAAAAAGAAAAGTCTTAGAAAATTAGATATTTATCATAAGCAGAGGAAAAAAAAGTGATATTTTCTTACAGTGATTGGTTTATTTTGGTCCACGCCTCCTGCCAGACTGAAACCTAGCCCTACGCCGACCTCCTTGTGAAGAACCACCACCTGCACATCGTCATAGTCCTTTTAGATAGACAAATAAAGAAGAGCAAGTTAAATCACAAACTTTATTTTCCTCTAAAAGCACATTTGTGAATTGAAATTGAAAGGAACAAACACAGAAAAGGTTATCTTAAATAAAATCACTGTCTTAACACAAACATGCTGATCTACACATATAATCTGTATCCTGGCCTTGCATATGCTGTTAGGAATGCAGATGGGTCACTTTAGCAGACTTTACACTGAGCGGAAGGTGGTTTAGCAGAAAACAAACAAGAGGCCTTTTCTTCCAGAAATACAACAGGCCTTTAAAAGAACAAGTGTTTCCTATATGTAACAAATGAACTATTGTCGTCAGAGAACAGCAAAAAGAAAAAAAAGCTGTAGCTATCAAAAGCTTTTTTATTTTATTTTAGCCACAACATAGTTTTAAATAACAGAGCAAGCAATAGGATGTCAATGACACCGAGTCAGAGCACAACAAGCATCTTTTTAGGGGTCCAATTTGGTTGGTTTCTGTTAAAAGTGGCCCAAGGAAGGAAAGGTGGTAAACAGCTGACATTTACCTGGGTGGCCAAGGCTTACTGGTGCATGTGGTGTGCAAAAATAGCCTATGAGGTCTTAACCACTGAACATTTTGTAGCTCAAATTGCTTTGATGTTACTTTGATATGTTTCTTTATGGTGGCCTCACCTCACATCTTTGTGTACTTTAGGCCAGTGGTTTTAAAACTTTGTCAGCAAGAACCACTCTCCTGTATATTTTAATTATTTTCCTGTCTCTATACAATCTATGCAACCCTTGGTTGGAAATGCAATAATTTAATGCAGGTGTGCTAGAACAGTCACATCCAAACCATGCAGGACAGTCGGTGCCAAGGATCGAGTATGAAAACCACTGCTTTATGCGTCTGTTGTTACCAGTTTGGCACATGAGGTGGAGCAAAGGCATGATCTACCAACCAATGACTTATCATTGATCTGAGTACACACCAGCAACAAAATAAACATTTATAGTAGATGTACCCCTGGTCCAACACACATTAATCAAATACCTGAATTACCTTTTCAGGAGCATTCAAATTCTCAATAGTTCTGATAATGGCCTCATTGTTTGACCCAGGTGTGTTGAAGCAGAGACATATCTAAAAGATGGAGGGCACTGGACATCAAGGACTGGAATTAAAGATCCCTGTACTACAGTACAACTTGAGGGCCTTGTGAGGTCCTTGCCTCAACCGATCAGGGATAGCAACTAATAAGAGCAAGAGAGTTTAGATTACAACAGTAAAAAAACTATTACTGTAATATCAGCACCTGCAAGGTTTCATCCCCCAGGTTTTTGACATCCTCTACCAGTTTGTCTATCTCCTCAGTGGGAAGCAGAGAGACACAGGAAAAGGTAGAGATATCTGAGCTTAATGAGACGGATCTTCGGCCTGACAGCTGCCAATCCTCCATGTCATTTTCCGATTCGTAGTCAGTACCAGAGATGATGACCAAGTCTGAAAAACTATGAAACAGTAGTTTGGGAATAAAATAAATCAGTTACTTCAACTATTACTTCCATGAAACAAGAAATTTGATAATGAAAACATTAGTTACCTGAGACTGAAACTCTTGTGTTCTGACTGACTCATGTTGCTGGTTATGGTCACAGAGGATTCTCCTGAGTCTGAGTCATAGTTTGAATCATCATCCTTCTGTGTGCTTTCATCATCCTCATACTCCCCAATGAAATCATTCCAGCTATTATCCTCTGGGTTCAGACCAGCAATCCACGCGTTCAGATCTGCAAGCCGTTTCCTTCCTTTTGGTAAATCGTTTTTAACATCCGGATAGAAGACATCTGACCAGTCTTGAGAAGAAGTCTGAGTGGGAAGATCTGTAGAAACCTTATCTTGAGTTTTGTCTTTGTGTGTTATGAAGACATCTGACTTGTTGTTTTGGGAAAGAGTTGTGATGGCGGGGAGAAGAGTAGAGTCTGTATCTTTAGTTTTGACTTTTTTTCCAAAAACAGGAAGGGTTGCGTTATCTGCAACAGGAAAGGTATTCTCTGGCTCTGACACAGGTGAAAGAAAAGGGGAGGTGTTCAGGGGGGTGTTTGTTGGGGTCTGTTCATCTTCACTAACTGGTGAAGAAATTTCACTTGGTGGCCTTGGCTGCACTTTAGTTGTCATATTTTTTATGTTTGAGTCCTCAGGGCTTAAATGTTTGACTAAATCTGTCTCATCAAAGCAAAACAGTTTTGAGTGCCTTCGAGTTTCCTCATCAAGAGGAATGTGTAGATTCTTCTTGGGGATAGAATATTTACTTATATCCTCAGAAAAGTCATTTTTTCTCTTGTCTAATAAATGAACTCCATCAGTTTCTAACTTCCCTAATCTGATTATAACCTCATCCACTGACAAAGACCTCTCGGATGCTGGCTTCTTTTTTTCTTCCTCTTTTTCATCTCTCTTCTCCTCCTGCTTATAGCTTTGCTCATCAATATTTTTTATTGCAGACCCTCTCCTCTTTATTCTCTCTTGGGTCTCAAAGGGATTTGCTGGTGCGGAAAAAAGCCGCCTTGAGGCTTGGACTTGGCTTGTTGCTCTCTGTGTAAGAGCTTCGAACTGATTGATTTTATTTCTCACGCTGGTTGAGGAGGGGACAGACAGAATCTCTGTCAGCCTTTTCCTTTCCGTCAATTGCAGGGTACCCTTCCGTGGACCTTCATCAAACACATCATCTTCTGCTGTAACGCTTTTCAGCCCAGTTTGTGCTTTTGTTTCTTCATCTCTTTCTATGTTGCTCTCTCGCACTTTCATTCTTTCTCTTGTGTCTGCTCTGCAGTCCTCTTGGTTTATGTTTCCCTTTTTCTGTTGAAAAATGGATGAAGTATCTCCTATAAATGTTTGGGACTTTGCCATACTTTCTGCAGCCCTGAGAGATCTAAGATTAGCAGCAATCGTGTTCCTACTCCTGCCTCTGTCCAAGGACTTTGTGCCCATTTCCATTTTCTCCCTCCTCTTCTTATCATCCTCTAAATAGTTGCTTTTAAACTCTCCTTGCCACTGTGTTCCTGTTGATCTCTCTTTGAGCTGAACTGCATGAGGAGAAGCGACGGTCTCTGACCTTGTACGGTTTGTTTCCTTTTGAGCCAAGAAGGATGGCACTGTTTTACGCACCGGACTGCAGACTTCGCCGGATGAGAACCGCCTCGGAAAAGTTCCCCCAACCGTCGTCTCACCAGCAGACTCAAAGAGTTTCTGAATGCGCTCTTGTATGCTCTGTCCACCCTCAGACCCCAAAGAATCATCCGTGAACCTTGAGCTTGGGACGGACTCAGTCCTAAACCTGAAAGGAAGTGAGTTGACCTTACTGGTTCCTCCAGCAAAATCTTTATTATATGAGCTTTTTCCTTTAATATAACTTGGACTTTCAGTCTTAAAACCCTTTAAAGAGGAACTCGTCCCTCTTGATATGTTCTCAATGTCCTTGTTTTGTTTCTCAAAATCTCCAGCTTCTCTTTTACCTAATAAATTTGACATACCATCTCTAACGTTGAGTGGGGAGCTTCCTAAATCCAATCCCCTGTCTAAACTCAAATGTTTGGATTTTAGGTTGCCTCTCCTTCCCTCTGTGCTTTCCCGGCTAATGAATAGCTGGGTTCCTACATCAGTGCCATTTTCTGTGTGTTTTCTCTCTGATCTGTCTTTCTTGCTCAACTCTGTGTGGGTCGTACCAACTACATCTTTGTTAATGGCTGTATCATTGTTGCTTTCAACATTGTCAGGTAAGGGTCTCTTTCTAAAGCCTGATCTGCGATTGAGACTGTATGAAGGAGAGTTAGCTGAACGGACTGTGAATCGCCCGCCCGTCCTTGTCGAGATGTTTTCACTTGTTGAAGGGGGGAGCAGATCCATGGTGAAAGAGTTTAAGAAAAAAATATTTTATGTAATTGTAGTCCCAAACGAGAGAAATTTAAATATGGATTATAAGAGATTCTAGTTTTTTAGATTTTAATGTAAAATTATTTGATCCTTAAAAAGGACTGATGCAAAGCCAGAAATGCATCACTCAAAACGGAGATGCTTCTGATTCTAATTCAAGTTAACAATTGAATCCCCGTCTTTGGTTCCTCTTCTAGGTCCTTTTCCACACGTTTTTGTTTTCTGACCTCAGCTTCAGTGAAGAACTTCCTGTACCTGTCAAACATCAACAGAAAGATATTTAAGAGTTTAGAGAAAACTAGGAAGAATTCTTTTGATTTGTATAACAAGTAAATATAGTCAAAAACAGTCAAGCTGGCACATTAAATAAAAAACTCATAAAGTAACAGTGTGGCATTTATTAGATAGTGATTAATGGATATAAGCCTTGCTACAGTTTTGTATCTTGTTGCATGAGAGAACAAATTCCACTTTGTCTTATTGAGATTTTTTTAAATGGTAGACCACCTAAACTTTGCATAACTGTGAACTAGAAAGAATTATATAATCGTTTCTACACGTTTAAAATTAAAATCAAAATTACATTAAACACACATTTATTAAGCTCCCTTTAATCTGATACCCCTAAATTAAATATAGTGTGACCGGAACCAGCTGAAGTCTACTCAATAGCATTAAGAATCCATGAATATCTAATTTAATTTCTGCTTAACTTAAGAAATACTATAAATGCCTTAAAGGAGTGTATAAAACATTTCTCAACAACTATAGATTTAAAGACCAAAGGACACATCAAATATGAAATAAGAATAATGCACATATTAAAACAAGCAATAGGACATCTTTTTTTTTTTTTAGTTTCCAACTAACAAACTCAACAGATAAATGTAGAATACAATGCTTTAGTCTACAGAAGATAATATAGAGCTTATTGTACCAAAATGGAAAAGTAATGATACTGTATGCATCTCCTTAGCAGGGGACTTCAAAGCCGGTTAGAGGTGTGGCTTTATTTAAAATCTATGAGAAAAGCCGGAGAGGATATACAAAGGGAATGTGAAGCTTCTAAATGTGTTCAAAGCTGGAAGAAATGTACACCAAACTGTAAAATGGGGTTCTACACAATGTAAAAACAACTTGTATAATTTACTGTTTAATCAAAGTTCTTATTTGTTGATGCAAAAACAAACACTTTATGGCCATAGGCTTCTATTTGTTGCTTTCCCAACAAAATCAAGTGACATATATACTTTTGCAGGGCCTAGTACAAAAAAACAACAACAATAATATTAATGAAAAACAATCTTATGAAAAGCAGACGTTAAACGCCTACATTTAACCTTTCTTTTATATAATACAACAACATTGCGCTGCCCTCATGATTTTCCCCTCTTAGTACAGCAAAGCAGCCAAACACTGAGCAGCTTTGCTCTTAACACACATTACGACTTCTGTTTATACAGGCAACAAACTCGAGACAGCCTGTTGGCAAAACTGGAAACAAAAACTGGAAAAACTCCCCTAACAGCAATCCTACTCAGCAAAAACAATGCTTTTAAATCACCACCATAACACTAGTCTTTGTGCAGAGTGTCTCGTCTGAATTAGACCGCCAAGCCAATCAGAAAACCTTCGGCCAGGGGATTGAGATAGGATAGGCGGATACAGCAACAATAGATGAAGACAAAACTACTTTGATTTACATACAGGCCATTGAGAGACGGATAATATTACTATCAGACAATGACTTATCAGGGATCTAAGTATGCACCAGCAACAAAACAGGCGTTTCCAGCAGCTGAAACTATCCCAGAGTGATGACTGATGATAAAAGAATCCAATGCATTCTACAATTATAAGGTCTCAAAAAACACACACCCTATATATTCTAGTGTTCTGAAGCATTTTAAGTCTACATTACAGTCTGTATTTTCTTGATAATAGCGATTGGTGGTGCTTTCCAGTGTAGGAGAGTCCGAGTGTCACCTTACAGAAACACCTGTCCTGCAGGCTCCATAAGCCTTCCATCTGTGTATCCTGGGATAAAACTTTAAATGAGCTTTTATGAAAAGAAACAAAGCTGCTCATAGAACTAAACACTTTTAAATAAACGCAAACCCTACCTTCACAAAACGTGTCCTCTGTTGACATCCTAAGTCACCGTGTTACTCCATAATGTGGACAGCGCTCCGTGGTGACATCAGCACCTGCCTCCTCTCTCTCTGTAGCTCTTCTTCTCTTTCCATCAGCTTTGCATGATGGACTGCGTACAGTGACGCAAACCTGCTACACTGGTTTGACTTCCTGTCTTTGCTCCCTTGCTTCCTGCTAGCTTCTTCCTCTTTTATTTTCTCTCCTCCCTCTTTGTCCTTGTTGTTTCTCACCCCTCACAGGGTAGCATCCCTGACTGCAGCGTATAGTATGTATGGTCTATATAGTATATCTTCAGATATTCACATGTATTTTACCATGACAAAGAAAATTGAGAATACCTTTATTGTGTGAAAAAGGCTCTTCAAACTACATATTGTCAATGCCATCCTTGGTAGCAAAACTTGTCATCAGGTATTTATGATGAAGGCCAATAAGTATTTCACAGTTACTTAGAGCAATAGCTACACTGCAAAAACGATCTAGAAATAAGTAAAAATTTCTTAAATTAAGTGTATTTACCCTTAATTTGAGTAGGTAAATATGAGGATTTGCCAATGCAATTAGTATCTTTATTCCTGAAATAAGATAATTAGATAATATGAACTTGAAATAATATAATGCAATTGTTTTTTCTTATTTTAAATGTAAATTGTCTTGTTCCATTGGAAAAGTGTCTCACTTTCGTCCTCAATTGGAGAAAAAATGCACTTACTTTAAGAAAAAATTACTTACTTAGATTTCCATTTTTTTGCAGTGTATGGTGTAGCTTTTTCAAGCAAATGATCACAGAGGAAAGTAAAACTTTAACTGGGCAATTCTTACTACATTTGTTAATGAGCCGTTACGGACTTTAGTGTGTCTGGTGTGTTTGAAGCTGAGTTCACAAGATCTGATTATTATGTCACCTTTTTTTTTTGAGGAAAAAAATGCACTTATTCTATGAAAAAATTACTTATTTAGACTTACATTTTTTGCAGTGTTGTTGCAGCAATTAGTCTGGCATCTTAATTATATTGTGACTGCAGCTACTATAGAGTAGCACTGGCATGACCAAGTCTTCTGTTATTTTTTTTTTTTATTGCAGTGTGTGCTGGATTTAAGGTCTTCCTCATACAACTGTTTCTAATACTGTAGTTATCAGAACCCATCCATGGCTCTACGACTTATGATAGTCTATCGGATCCTGAAGCATCAAATTGCCCCTTACACCATATTTGACTGTCTCTTTCTGAAATTGTTTTACACCTGATGTAACAGAGCACACCCCTTCCTAAACGTTCAGCGTTTGTCTCATCAATCAACAGGATATTCTGACAAAAATCTTTTACATCATATAGACTCTTTTGGAAAATGTCAGTTTAACCTTAGATTTAACTTTGAGCTTGAGATCTTCAGTGCTTCATATATTCTTCTTCGGCTTTTGCTGGAGCAAAGGAATATTTTTTTTTATGTGAATTTTCTTTGTACTAAGGCATTGGGTTTGTTTTTCAACAAATATTTCAACTACTTCATGTTGTCAGATAGTGTTTTTCCCCCGAAGGACTTCGTTTTTCTGCAGATTAAAAGGTAATCAGGTCAAATCTGGGTGTGGCTATATAAGTGAACTAAAACAAATTTGACCCAGTTAATCCACATAAACAAAAGGGGTGATTACTCACGTTTTTCTAAAAGGGTCATGTTTCTTATTTTTACATTTCGCATTTACTCAGGTGCACCCTATTTGATATAAATTCATATTGCCTATTTATTATCATTTATTTGAGCAAGAAGCAGAATTATTAGTGTTTAAAGTGTATACCTCTGAGGACGGCAATGTGGATTAAATATTAAGTCCTCCTGATAACTGATATCCAGTTAAAAGAAGAGAGTGCAAAAGTGTATTTTTTAAAATTGTAAAATTCAAACTGACACGAGGAGAAGGGTATAAAAATTGTACTTACAATATTTGCTGCAAACCAAGGGCTCATCATCCTTCTGGCGTTTCTTTTTTGCATGCACCTGCTTCTCGCTTGGTCTTCCGTTTAAACAAAGGAAACTGTGGTTGCTGCTGCACTAAAAAAGAGAAGGCTTGATTTCTGTCTTATCGTGCACAAAGAAGCTAAATTAAACAAAGTGATTTCAGAAACATTTTAGAATTTTATTTTACCAGTGAAGGATGAGCAGTTAATATGCAGCTGGTGGGTTGTTTGGTGCCAATCTTGGCAGAGAAAAGCCTGTGAGTGGGTGTAAATAGCTCAGACAGATATCCACAGACACCCACCCTTGTTGGTTACAGAAGAAAGACTCTCAGTGTCTCTGCAGATGGTGAAAAAAAAAGGTCTGTCTCATATCTGACACGCTGTTGCTTTAAATACAGTTTTGATTTATGGTCCTGGACTCTGTAAATGCCATGAGAAAGGACCCAAAGAACTTTTTAAGCAATACTGAGCAAAAAACAAAGAGAAAACTTAATGTTTTAATTTTAATTATAATACACTATAGATAATTTCATATTCTTTCCTATGTTTTGCAGATTATTTTATATATGACTTGATTGTTCCTTCATTGTGTGAAGCAAACAGCAGGCGGCAGCAAAAGAATGAAAAAGGGTAAATCGTAAATAAACATTGATGCCATATAGTGAGTACCACTTATTCCAAACATTTCTGCCAGAAATTGAACAAATAGAACTAAAAGTTTATTATTGGAGTTTTGAAATCAAAGAATATATATATATTCTGGCTGCTCCAGAGTTTTTTCTCTGCATGTGCCATGGGGGGGTGTTAAGCATTGAACTGAGACTGCTATGAATCATCCTTTGTTCCTACATTAATACACACAGATGCAAACCAAAAAACACATGTATAGAGTAGTTTAGTATAAATTGTTGTGATTCGTTCACTTTGTTTCCTCAGATCTTGGAAAAAAATATTCAGTAAATTATTTGTGCTTTCACTAGCAGCATCTGGTAAAGTACATGTAAGGGTGTTAAAAAGGTACACTGATAATATAAGTAAAATTCCTTATAGTTAATTAGTGATATTATGTGCCTCAAATTATTTTTACTTACCAAATATCTCTTGTATCGTGTACAAAAAAATCCAAATAGGAGCACATTAAAGAAGCAGTAGTATAATCAGTTAAATAGAAGAAGATAAATATGACCAGTGTATCAGCTATAGGAAACTTTGCAATGGTTGCAACAGATGATTATTCCCTCCACATATTTTCAAAATAAATAAGAGTTGAGAACATGTGAAATGCCAAAAAAAAAGCATCTAAACTAATCTTAATGACCTACAAAATAATAATTATTGGGGTTTGAATACAATATATTTTTAATTGGAACTGGTCGTGTTTTGTAAGGAAGATATGAAAATGTCATGCTTATGATTATTAATTATTATGATGAAGTATGTATCTTTATTTTTCAAGGGGCTGCTATGACATTGAAGGAAAAGAGCCTTAGAAACTACCCCCTTTCCTTCCTAAGCCCCCCTGGCATATTTATTTGTTTGTTTGTTGTTTGTTTATGTATTGTTGTGTGACTTTAAGTGAAAAAAAAAAAAAAAAAAACATGACTAGGAGGGGCTATTGGCTGAACGGTCACGTGCTGTGCCAAAAAATGGGCGCCATTGACGTAAAAACACCCCATATTATAGAAGGTGGATATCAGCGTCTGAGCAAAAGCAAATGTTTTATTTTAATTCTCTACATTACGTATTAAATTTACATTTACAATGTTTCATTTATGCCTATTTAGGCTGTGGGCTTTTATGTCTGAAATGTTGCTCTTAGGGAACTACACGACATCGGTCACGTGACATTTGCGGAAGTCAACAAAGGAGAAATGTAACAATAAGCAGTTCAACAGAAATCTTCCTGTTTTCTGTTACTTTTAACCATTTTTTTTAGAATGGATATTTAAAACGCAAACCTAAACCAAACTCCGCGTCTGATGAAGATCAAGGTCTTTTTTTGTTTTGTTTTGTTATTTTAGGACAGACTTTCAAAATGCTTGACGGATCCTTGTCAAAAGTGAACGTTGTTCTTGTAATGACTTACGGAAGTCTGGTAAGTTTCACTAAAGGTTTTCTTTGTTTCGTTTATATAATTCACAACACATGTCATATTAGGACACTTTTCAGAGACAATCCAACCAGATCATACAATCAGATTGGTTCAAAGTTTATTTTATTTTAATCTAAGGGGAACCAGGTGATTTCATCGAGTCAGGAACAGGGGCGGAGCTAGATGGGGGGCCAGAGGTGGCCATGGCCACATTTGGCCAATCATTGCCAAACCAACTAACTAGCTTAGTAGTTTATTTATTTATTTCATTTATTCAACTAAATAGGTAAACCAGTTGGAGATGTATTGTACACAGAAAAAAATGTAAAATTTTAATAATGTTTACAATTATTCAAGTTATACAAATAAAAATATTGGATTTTATCATCTAGTTTTGCTCCTGCAGGACAATCTTGTTTTTACAAGTTTTACCTTTTTGTGTTCCTGCCTGCTTTTTTCTTTGCTGCTGTTACACCATCTGTTACATCAATAAAGGATGCGTCTATTGAGACATAACATCTCATTATTACTGAAACTGCCTTAAATTCAAGTGTTAGTTGTTAAAGAGAGTCTATCACTAGGAAATACTGATTTTGATGATGCATCACATTTTTAGGATCATCATTTTGAGGAGCAGATATTGCCTTCCCTAGCTTTTTAGGTATGATAGTATAATATTAAAATCTTTGAAGCAAAAAGTGCATACCATCAATTAGCTTTGTTTTCTTTCTTTTTTTATAGCAAAAGCCAAAATATCAACAATTGTTTTCTATACATAACACTATAAAACTGATATAAAAAAAGCAAGGTTACTGAATAGGTATTTTTTTAATATTATATGTAAAATACATGTCAATATAGATATACAAAGCTAATATGATTTTAAATGGGTCCTGCACAGATTATTATTGAGTAGTACTCAGTTTTAACTGGCTTTAGCAGCTAACTACTACTAAAAGAGACTCCTGCACTTATCTATAGCTTAGAAAAAATGTATTATGAGGCAGTTAATAATCGTTTGTTTTTGCTAAAAACAGGAGCAGTTAAGTTGAAATGGAGGTGATATTGCATCGGACACTATTGCAGAAAAAAAGTTTGAGAAATATATGAATGCATACACGTACAGACATGCTGCTTATCCTGTTTTATTTTCTCTAAAATAAAATATTTGTAATATTGCTATATATATATATATATATATAATTTTTCTTTTTTTTTTTTGATAGAATCAAAGCGAGGTACATCAAGGTCCCATTTTTTATTTTAATATTTTTTTTGTATGATTCAATTTAAATAAACTACCTGATGGGAAAACATTTTTTAAAAACAAAAAATTGACTACAACATCTGTAATTAAAGAAAGAGAAATAATTTAACAGTTTTAACTTTAAATGTGTTATAACGTCTTTCCTTTATTTCACTGTGCATGCTTGTACCAAAAAAAGGTTATTTTGAAAAAAGACCGCCAGAAATAATCTGTTGCTCGCATCCTGAACAGAAACTCCAGACTTTCTTTGTTCCACCAGATAGTTTTATTGTTCTGTCTTATAATTTTATTTCCCAGTGAATTCATGTGAGGTTTAAAAAAACTTATTTTCTCTCTATCTTGTTTTCAGGTGTTTGTTTTACTGTTCATCTTTGTAAAAAGACAAATAATGCGTATTGCCATAAAGTCTCGGAGAGGCCCTCACGTTCCCATTGGCCACAATGCTCCTAAGGTAGAACAGGCTCATCACAGATCTGGTCCTGCAGGGTATTTCAGTTGTTCATCCGTCATTTTAATGTGTTGTTTTGGTCTTGCAGGAATTGAAACAATTAATAGAAGCCAAACTGTGTCAGGTCCAAAAGATCCACTTTGAGCCTCGTTTGTTGTCCCCAGCTGATGACCGTCTAACCCAGAGGCTACAGTCTGGTTAGTGATGCATGCAGAGCTTGTAAAGCATCAGGAATGGTCCCAATGATAAAAGGTTTCTCTATGGTGTTTGTTGTAGGTTCTGATGACTACCTGTACAGGATGAAAGCTCTAGACGCTGTCCGGGACACTGGTAATCTGTTTTTTTTTAATTCTGTAATTAAATTTTAATTCTTCAAATCTGCCATCTTCACATCTCCACATTGCTTCCTTTAGATTTGCCTTTCCGTGAACTGGGTGGCGCCTCCACAGCTGTTACTGGGAAAAGATTTCGAACCTGGCTGTTGCAGCTGCGTAATTCCCACAGCGAGCTGAGAGACAAGCAGAACTCTCCGATTGACAGGGTGTTAGATGGCTACAACAGAGCGCGCCATGGGGCCGAGGTCAGCAGCTTCTCTCATACAACATGTCACTTTCAATGTGGTTTCATCAGCTATTGTGAGGCAGTAAATTTCTATGTTAGTATGAATAAATATATCTGATGTAAAAATATTTCCTATATCAAAAATAATCCTTAAAAGGGGAGCGGTGGCCTAGTGGTTAGAGCATTGAGCATGGGTCTCAGACGTTCTGGGTTCAAGTCCCACACACTCCCCTGGACTGCCATTCTGGGTCCCTGAGCAAGACCCTTAATCTCACACTGCTCCCTGGGTGTCGCACAATGGCAGCCCACTGCTCCCCAAGGGGATGGGTTAAATGCAAAGTTAATTTTGTTGCTCTGTACTTGTGACAGTGTTATGACAATAAAAGTAAATAAATAAAAAAAAAGATCAAAGCTAGCAGAAATGGTTTGTTTGGATTCATAGAAATAGATTTAGTGTAGTGATCTCATTTTTTTGGAAGTGACCTCCCAAGTTTGGCGCAACCTCCCATCAGGAATGCCTTTTCCCTGATATAAACACTCAACTTTTATCAGGCGGGAAGTTGATTGTTGTATGTTTACGTGCTTTTTGCTGATAGACACAATATTTCAGTTCCCAAATGTTTTCATTATCTCTCTTTTTGTTTAGGTTTGGAGTAAAGATTAACACCTTAAAATAGTTTGATCTTCTATTGCACTAGCATAATCTGACATATTAAGGGTTTGAATTTCTAAAGCATAACAGTCTTGGAGGTTTTATTGTGTGGGGAGCATTTTGGATTCAGTTTTTTTAATGCTGTCCCTGTTTGTGTTTTCAGGCTTTTGGAGAAGCAGAGTTTATCAAGTACCAGGAGGCTCTGACTGAGCTGGCCGCTATGTGAGAAAACTCCATCTCTCCCCACTACACTGTTTTTTCATTTTTTATTTTTTGGTCTCATGGGTAATCCCAATGTTGAATGTGGATTGCGCAGTAAAAAAGCTGCTTTCCTTTCCTGTTGTTTCAGCGTGAAGTCTCGCGGCGGCACGCCGAGCCAACACCACCAGTCTGCAGCCAAAGACCTGACTGCCACCACCAGCCCCTCCTCCTCCTCCTGCTGCTCCTCCACCACCCAAAACACCTACCTCACATTTACAGGGCTGCAGTGCAACAAGAGGCCCAGACACTTTCTGGAGCTGAAGAACTTCAAAGACAACTACAACACACTGGACAGCACGCTCTGATATATTTACACATCTGAACAAAAGAAAAGGTCAAAGATAAATACTACTGCCTGTAATCCTAGTGCCTCACTCACTGTCACCTGACGGTATAAGATTAAGCTGAAAACACACTGCCTTTATATAACATGCACTGCAGAATGCTGCACATCTATTGCTCGTTGCCTAAGTGTATTATTGCATGAATAAGTGCAACATTAAAATAAAAATAGCTGTTAGTAAGTAGGGTTGATTTGACCAAAAGAAAAACACCTATTGAAATGTTTATGCAGCATAGGACAATCAGTATTTATTGCACAATGTAAACACCTATGCAGAGATGTTCAATTTAACCACCTGTGTGTAGAAAATAAGAGTTAATAGTTATAAACTAGCGTGTGCATTATTTTTTTTAATAACAAAAGATAGCTCTGTTTATGTCATTAATGTTTACTTTTGTTTACGTTCTCATGTTTTTACTTTGAGCCATGGATTTATTTCCTTTGAGCCTCATCTTACAGCCATAATTCTCTTCAGGAATTTAATTAAGTGCCTTTTTTTAATCAGTTATTTCACGGAGCAGTATTTTAGATTATATATATATGTGTTGGATTAGAGGTGCAACCTCAGGGGAAGACTGTTTCTTTAGTCACACTAAGCCTGCTGATATCTGAGAGGCATCAGTTTTATTTTGTATTTAAAGTGTTTAATGCCTGATTGTTATATTTTTTCAGTTTCCTTTGTTGTTTATGATTTATGTTTCCATGCAAAAAACAGGTCATGATGTTGATTTTAAAACTAAACATTGTAAACTTTAAAATGCCAGTCTCTTGTCATCTCCTTTTAGTGTAGAACAATAAAGTTCATTACATGTTTTTTTTTTGTTTGTTTTTTTTTTTATTATCAAAAAAACATTTAAATCCTAAAAAATAAATAAAAGGGAAGCACAATTTTTAAGCAGTTTTATCTCTGAAACATACAGAACCTTGTAATGGTAAGAAATTTCAGAGATTTTAATATTAAGTGAAAGAATCAACATTATTATAAGTAATGTATTTAATAGGAGAGATTTAGTTAAGGGAACAATGCAATGTTTTAATCTGATATATTTGAAGTGGTAGTAATGGTTTTCTGTACTATAACTATAAAATGAAGCCTCAAACATAGCAAAAGTGAAAAAAAACAAATACATATGTTTATATATGTACACATTAGATATTTATATATGTTTATATTTATTTTCTTAAAATGTATTATTAAGAGGGGTATTTAAACATTTTTTCTTTTGATAGCTAATGTTAATATATCATTTTTATACCTCATATACATTATCTAAAAATTGTAAAATACATAGCAGCCGAAATAATCTTAAATACCACATTACCAATGATATTTTAACAGAAGAATGAATATAAGATGGATCCAGGATAATGGGCCCTTAGTCAAATCACAATATTATGTTTTTAAGATACAGATAATAAAGTAGCTGAAAAAAAGCACCCTATATCAAAATGTTAACATTTAATGGTTATACTTTTGCAGTAAAAACCTGACACCTGTTGCAGATTTCCATCTTACTAATATCAATGGGTTTTGTGATTCATCATCTCAGTTACTTTATTTAATTCTATCTACATGTTTCAAAGCATCTGCATGGACTTTATGTGCATAAACATTTTAAACCTGCAAATCCATTGCATGTGTGCAGGTTTGTAATGGCAAAAGTTATCCAGCAGAGGGCGCCCTTAACAATGTAATCCACCAGTTTCACTGTAATGAAAAAGGTTGAAATGTATCTTCAAGGAATTTAAATATTTTCATCAGAATATTTTGTTTAGTTTCCACCAAAAGCTAAAACCTTGTTTTGTTTTTGTATTGCTGCAGGATGTGTTTACAGGTTTTTACACCATGATCCGTCTTACCCAGATATTATGAAATATTTGCTGTCACCCTCTAAAATGATAAGACATGGACCTATAGATGAGTTTCTGTTTAAGGCGTTTATTCTCAAAATCAGAGAGAAAACAGATCAGGACTCATACTTTATACAAAAGCTCTTCTATCAAACAGTTGTTATTTTAGCATAAATAAATACAAAGCAGAAAGTCTAATTACATTCACTGAAATATGTACATAAAGAAAGTGAGGATTCAGACAATGACATGGAAGTGAAATGCACAATGTATTTAGAGGAATGATGATGATGATGCTGAAAATAAAAATAAAAACTTCAGTTTTCCTTCTGTCCTCACAGCTTTATAAAGTGCCCTTCAGTTTCTGGGGGAGTAAAACATTTATAAAAAAATAGATTATACAATGTGAAAGCCCAAATAGTAATCCGATTTTTATAAATTTCTCTTTAAATATAGCTTTGTTTTTCTGAAACAACCATATAATCACACATAGAAGTGAACAGAGCCAAAGATGACTGACAGTTTAGAGTAAGTCAAGGATTCTAACATGATCTATCAGGACAGTTTGGAAAGCAACAAAACATAGATGCTACATTTCTTTATTACAGCCTCGTGATGTGGTCAGGAAGAAGAACAAACTGCACAGTCAACCCTATAAACTCAAAGTTCATTTGCGGGATAAAAATATTGGAATGGGGCGGAACAAGCAGAGCGTTCACTCAAACTAAAAGCAAACACATAATGTACGTCTGAGTCTCTATTGCATCTACATTAAAGCCGACTTACATACAGTCATGAGTCAAATACCCAGTGGGTGCTGCTAATCACTCCTCAGTTCCTTCAAAAGAGGTTTAGTTCAAATGCAGCTATAGCAAAGGTGTTACAGTTTGAGAAAGTTCAGCTCAGATCCTCCCTATGTTAATTCATGTGAAGATGTCGTCAACAGAGCTGCTGTCTGAGTTCAGTCTGAAAAAAGCCTGCAGGTTCTGGTTCTTCTGTTGCTTCATGACTTGATCTCGATGACTTTGATAAAGGGGAGTGGTTTGTTAGAGGACGATGATGGCTTCAGGGGTTTACTGCAACAAGAAGAGGAACAGAATTTGATTACCTCCATAGTAAAGGAAAGCAGGAATGAATCATACAACCTATTTTAAAATAGAAATACATTTTTGCTCAGTGTTTGACATTAAATTAAGACAAATCTGACTTCCTTTTGGTCAGTTTGGATTATCAGGATTATCATTATTTGTTTTGTGCCAGATTAAGAAGAAAAGGCTTTTTAAGATTTCAACTTAGATTTCAAATCTACAAACATTTTATTAGTATTTCAGAAAATTGGGTCAAATCGTTTGGAATGTTTTTCTCAAGCTATGGAGGAATTCAACCCCTTCCTCCTGACTGATATCAGGTCTTTGTGATGGTGACTCTAAGGCTACGTTCACACTGCAGGCCTTAATGCTTAATTCCGATTTTTTTGTGAAGTCAGATTTTTTTTTGCGTTGCCGTTCACGTTTCCAAATATATGCGACTTGTATGTGATCTCGTGTGAGAACTGCATTCATACAACGCAAGTATTCTGCATGCACAGTAGAGGACGCAATGATGCCTCAAGCAAGCATGCTCTATGTTTACGGAAGTAAACATGGATCTAGCAATCTTTCCCAACCTTAAAAACTTAATCTTTTCAAGATTGTTAAAAAATAAAGACTGCTCTCCACATTATCTTCCACCATGTTTTTTTTTTATTTCTAAATAATCATTTCAACTAATTCTAATTTAGTGTCATTTTACATTAGTGCCTTAAAGGTTTTAGCAACTTCCACAATGCTCTCTACTCGACGCAGACAATTCCATTGCAAATTTTGGATACTCCAAAAAAGAAGAAATGACAGACTTAGTCTTTGTCCGCTTTAGTAAACAGTAATCTGACTTGTTTTTCAGAGTAACGACTTCCTCTTGACTGAATGGTATTTCAGGAATAATAGTAGAGAAATGTAAAATCCCAAACAAGGAACCGCATTCTAAGATTCTGGCGAATTTTAAAAGGAAAAACATACCGCAGTATGCCCAAGGTTAGCCAAGTATCTTTCTTGTTGCGCTTTCTGACTTCTAGAGATTGACACACATCTGCAGTATTTCAATGCTGCTTGTTTTATCATTATTAATGTGAAAAAGGGCCAATAAAAATGGTTATTGGCACATTAAATCTAAAGCCATGGGAACCAAGAAGTCATGAACTAATAGTCAGATGTATTTAACACATCTTTTCTTTTTTCCATTAATTTATGACTTTTATATTCAAAATGAAATTTATATGTTTTCATTGTAAAAAGGCTAAATGTTTTTAATTAGTAGTCAAAATGAATTGTTTTAATTGTCATTACGTAAAAAAGTTTCCAAGGGGGGAATTTGTTTTCCCACTGATAAAATAAAAATTTTTATTTTCACCACATTCCTAATGTTAGCTTATGCTGCAAGAGTAAGATGAATTTATTTGAGTGATTTTGTTTGGTCAGTTAAATCTTTAGAAGGAGACATACAGAACAAAATAGGCTACCTGTAGATTATCTGTGGGTTGCGCTCTGATGAGAGATATGAGTTTGACCTTTGCCCTCCCAGGAAGTAGTCCATCTGGTCACGCATCTCTCGATTCTGCACAAACAAAAGGGTTCAGAGGTTATTTACAGTATCACCAAGCAGTGCATCTTCTCTTTCCAGATAAAACTGGCTCTTGCTTATATTCCAGAGAAGAAACCAGAAGGAGCTCTCACCTCAGCCTCTAAGAAAGCCACTTTCTCCTCCAGCTCTCTGATCACGCGGTCCCGCTCCTGGATCACCATGCGAGAGTTCTGGAGCTAAAGACGAGCAAACACAGAATCCAAACAGTCAGCAAACCCTGCATAAATATGAGCATGGGTAGGATGAGTCTGGCGTTTGTGCTTCTCACCTGCTCGATCATGTGTCTGACTTTCCTCTGTTGGCTTTTCAGCATGTCATCCAGATGGTGAATTTTTTCTTTGAGAATAGCCACCTCCTTCTCCAACTGCTCAGCCCTAAAAATACACACAGATTGTTACGGCATGCTGTGCTTTTTAGGCAACAGTGAATAAGTATTTGTACCACTCAAGCCCTCTATACTTGGATGTCACTGATATAATCATGGTTTAAAAAAATGGAAAAGGTTCAGAGGTGATGAGGAGAAAACTGAATATAAAGACAAGGCCATCCAGAAACCTGTAAGGGGCCATAAAAGGCCTCAGACCCTGCAGTAGGACAACTCTCTGACTACTGAAGGCACGTAGATTTTATTTTAGAAAATCAGAGTAAGATGGCCAGAAAACAAAAGCAGGGTTTTTAATTTAAGTTGATGAAAAGGTTTGAAAAACATTCTTTCCATTTTTTTTTTAACAGTTATATACTTTTAGTTCAGCTGAAAAATAAAATCCCTTTAAAATACTCTGGGATTTGAGGCTGAAAACCAGACAAAATGTCAAACTGGATTAAGAGTACTTGAGTATTTCACTGTGTAGGTTTGTAAGCTGACCTCTGCTCCCCCTGGTGGCCCTCTTCTCTGATCTTCCTCAGCTCGCGTAGTTCATCCTCGCGGCTGCGGATGGTCTCCCTCAGGGCGGCGCTCTCCTGCTCCATCCCTCCCAGCAGCCTCTGCAGGTCTTCAATGCGCTCGTCTCTCTTCTCCACTTCTTCTTCTTTAACCCTCAGCTTCTCCTCCTTGTCGTTCAGACACTCTCTAAGCCTGCTGCCTTCAGCCTAAATAAAGAGTTAAACTTGTTTAGATGATGGCACTAATAATGAGGAGATGTAACCTCTGTGGCTATGCATCACCTGCAGTCTCTCTCTCTCCTCCTGGTGCTTCTTTTCCGTCTCCTGCAGCTGTGCATACAAACGC